CTTATATCTAAAAGCCTTTGACATCTTCTGTATCCCAGTTGACTTATGGTTCTTTAAACTTTGCATCCCCCTTAGCAAGGAAGCTCTTAATTCAACTTTGGAAGGTTACAGGTTAAAACATATTTTACTTTGGTCTCCTAAACATGCCTTTCCCTGCTGCCATCTCTGGTGGCTCCTAGGTGCAGCATCTCCCAACTCCCTGACATCTATAGGCCACACTAGTCCCTGCGTGCTCATTTCTCCTGGTTGAAAGAGGAGGTAAAAGGATAATGAGGACCCCCCCCCAATTAACTGACACTTGCTAGCTCCTGGCCACGACGCTGGTGTCAGATGTTTCTAGAAGCCCCTGGCTCTGCCTCTCCCAGTCCTCTCTGTGTGTACCAGCCTGATAATGGTCCTCTCGCCACAGATTCACTGGGGTTTCACCAACAAAGCCCCGGCCACTCAGCCCTCCACCACACCACTGTGCTCTCACAACTGAACTAGCCATCCTGCCTTGCAGATCAAATTGAGACAAGAGTAGAGACAGCAAAAGCAGAGACGCAGAGCTTGGCACGCGGTGGGGGTGTAGGCAATGCCAGCTGGAACTTGTCCTTCAGGTGGATGGAGTGGAATTTCTATCACAGCCACTCCCTAAGTTTTAGACAAAAATTTTTTTAAAAAGAAAAGCAAGGTTCCTCAGCAGGGTGCCCAGTAACAGACTCACATACTCCCATGGCATTGCCCTCACCTCCTATTCAGAGGAATGAGGAACCTCAGTGGCCATGAGGTTATAGCCATCGCCCAACAGCAGCCATCGGAATTGGCAGCCCATCTGTGGGCCCTGCTCCTGACTCAGCGGGGAGCCAGCCTCCTCTGGAGGGAGCCCAAGGATAGTCAGTGCCTTTCAAGGTCAACATGGCCAGGAGGGGGCAGCGGAGGCTTCTGAGCTCTTTAAAATTCTCTTTAACCAACTGATCTCAAGAGAATTCTGGAAGACAACTTTGTTGGGAATTCCAGCCTAGATATCTACACCTAGCCCCTAAATCCCTAGTAATCTTCCCCCTCCTGGCTGTGCAAGAAGGAGGAGGGGCAGGGGGAGGGAGAACGTCCCTTTTTATATGGTTAGGAGCTATTTTCAACAACTTTTAGTTCTCCAGAGAGACAAAGTAATGTTAACAACTGGGAAACACATGCCACTGATGTCATATTCCTGGGAAATCCCTCCACTAGGACAATCTCTCTGCCTCTCCTGTGTTCCCGGGGTTTCCCTAAGCAGCCTCTGTGTGGTCTGGAGATAGTACCGCAGTGAGCAGGAGCAGTGAGTATATTCCAGAAACCGACTCACCCACTGAGGCAACACTTATGATTTGATCCTAAACTTCATTCAGAGACTCTCTCTTACTAGCTGCCCCGTGTCACCCCTATCGTCCCAGCCAGTTATACCAAACCAAGCTAATCTGCATATGTAAATTGCAGTACGTTAACTGGCTTTTCCTCTCTATTTGCCCTTAACCCAGCGGTTCTCAACCTGTGGGTCACGGCCCGTTTGGCGGTCGAACGACCCTTTCACAGGGGTCGCCTAAGACCATCCTGCATATCAGGTATTTACATTACGATTCATAACAGTAGCAACATTACAGTTATGAAGTAGCAACGAAAATAATTTTATGGTTGGGTCACAACATGAGGAACTATATTTAAAGGGCCAGAAGGTTGAGAACCACTGCTAACCTGTTAGCTGGAACCACTAGCCAGGACTCTTTCTGAAAATGTCCCACCTCTGCCTCACTATAGCATAATCACCTGAGTACATGTATACAAATTGCATGAACAAGTTTAGTTAATTGACCCAATATCTTTAATGCCTTGAAAGTTACCAGATCATTAGAAAACAAAGATGAAAAAATTGGTTGCTCAGACATTCACTCCACACCTACCATTAGTGGATACAGCGCAGAATGCAAGCTCAGCCAGAATGCTCAGGGCTGATGTGCAGCTCCATTGGCTCTTGGGGAAGGGGAGGCAGTAGGGTCTCCAGGCTCCCGGGGCATACGTCTTCAGGGAGTCCTACCCCTCTTCCCCAGGAGACCGTGGGTGGAGAAACTGTCATCTAACTCAAGGAACTGGGAGCAACTCTGGAAAAGGGTCAGAGATGGATGGCACAAGTACTCCAGGCTACCAACTAATTCTAAGTTTAGCTCAAAAAGTAGAACCGTCGCCAGGTAGTTTTTTTAAGAGAACCAGGGACTCACAGAGAGTAGCCAACAAAGTTGGCTGAAAGTGCAGGTGCCCGGGTCCAACTGGCCCAGTCTTCCCTTCCAGCTCACTGGAGGTTTCATTTGCAGCTGGGCAAGGGGACCAAAGACAGGACCGACTACACCAGGTCATCTAGGAATGTCCTTCGGGGGGTAGCGGTATGTCCGTGAACTGTGGGTTCTCAAGAGCAAGGGCTGTGTGTTAGGCTTCTTCCTGTTGGTTCCACTGAGAATCATTCTGTGATTGCTTTGAGAGTTTATTATGAGTGGTTAGTTTTTTTTTGTTTTTTTTGTGTTTTGTTTTTTTGAGACTGTGCACTTTGTAAGCATAGCTCCTCACATAGAACAGGCTGCGTGAGAGGCTCACAGGCAACACTGCCCCAGCAAGTCGAAAGTGCCCTCTGACCCTAGTGCCCACCAGTAGATGAGTGGATAAAAAGGCTGTGGTACATTTACACTATGGAATACTAGGCAGCAATAAAAAAGAAGGATCTGAGACAGCACGGAGGGACCTGGAGAGCATTATGCTAAGTGAAATAAGCCAGTCAGAGAAAGACAAGTACTCTATGATTTCACTTATATATGGACTCTAATGAACTAACAAGCAAAGTAGAGACAGACACATAGATAGAGAGCAGGCTGACAGCTGTCAGGGTGGGAGGGCCTTGGAGGGCTGGGTTAGGGGGGGTGTGGAGGGACTGAGCAAAAAGAGACATACGTGCCCTTTGAAAAGCATGGCCTAAAGCTTGAAAAATGATTAATCTGTGAGTCTCCTGATTCTCCCACAGTGCCGGTCTCATTAACCGGGCGGGGGACCCAATGCAGGCCCCAGGCCCCCGTCCTCCCACTCACTGCTGCCCTCACAGCTCCCTGACCACTCCTTGTCTCCCATTGCAGAGACGTATCATGAGGATTCTTAAATCAATACATATTATTAAAATAACAAGACAGGATCAAGGTGATTAGAACAGACCTAAAACTACATTTTGAAATAAAATATGACTTAAATAGATGAGATCTTAAATAGGAGCTATAAAAGGCTAAAAATCAACCCAAAAAAAGACAGTTAAGACCGTTAAATATCCCAAATGAAGCATTCTGCATGTGTAAAAAGTAAACTACAATAAAACAAATAGTTTAAATTTTTTAATGGCTGGGGTTATTCAGTGTGACCAGGGGACTCAGGTGAGTTCTCTAAATTGCTTTCATTCTGGTCCTATTTTGGGATGGGATTGACCCAGAGGACCTTCAAGCTTTACCCAGGGTTCTTAGCAGTCATGGGGTGGGGAGGAGTTTTCAGGGTGGGCCCAAGCCTGCTGGGAACTCTGCCTAATGCCTGGGCATAGTGTGTAGAATAGATTGACCTCTGTATGACCCTCACACTCGCTCACTGAAGCCTCAGAAACACAGACCGTTCACACAGGTGCACAAACACTTGACCATCCTGAATTGCCTCCGTGTGTGTGTGTGTGTGTGTGTGTGTGTGTGTGTGTGTGTGTGTTTCCATGTTCTACCGCAGCCTGCTAGTCAAATTCTAGTGAGCCCAGCTTCCAGGCCTGTGGACTGACCGGCAGCTCGTGCTCCTCCAGAAGCAGAATGGAGATGGGACTGTTCTGCAGAAGACTGGAGAGCACCCCTGCCCTATTCTTCCCCGGCCTCCCCTGCATCTCCATCCTTCCCCAAAAAACATCCCACCAATCTGCTATGGGAAAAAGGAGCTTGCCGACAAATTTGTTGCCAAAGGAGTGTTTTAAGTCTGCAAGCAAATGTCTGGTTGTGCACATTTTCATCCTTCAAAAATCCATTACAACGTTTGTTTGTTTGTATCTTAAAAACAGAAACACAAGAGCAGCCATCTGAAAGTGGAGGGTAAAAGCAAAGTCGTGACCTTCTAGAAAGAGTTAACAGCTCAGAAGGTCAGATCAGTCAGGCGCTCGGCTCTGCCTGCTGAGAGTGGGGGCATCTTCGGGATCCAGGCTGGGGAACCGGGCAGAGAGCTGCGAGGCACTCAACATGCTGCTTTCCCCAGCACCTGCCCCAAACTGAGCTCAGCAGTCAGATCCATGAGAGCAGCGAGGCACTCAACATGCTGCTTTCCCCAGCACCTGCCCCAAACTGAGCTCAGCAGTCAGACCCATGAGAGCAGCTTCGTGGGCGTTAGTAACCATGTCTTAAATTGTGCGCAGAGCTTTCCAACTTCAAAAACAGCCCCACACATTGGTCATGCCATGCCAGGGCTCTCACACCTGAAGACTAGTAGCTAAGCAGGACCGTCTCCCACCTGAGCCTCAGCCTGAGGACTAACCCCTGCTATGGAGGGAGGTGAGGGCCACCTCTTTAGACACTCCACAGTAAGAATTAAAACCCAGGCTTCCCCTAAACCTGAGGGGCCATTGCTTGCCAGCTCCTTCCGCGGCAATGCTGGGGTAGAGCTAGAGTGAGTGAAGCTATCTTAGAACACGTGGTGGGCTTTGCTAAGTGAAATAAGCCAGTCAGAGAAAGACCTCCATCCAGAGTCCAGATCTCATTTGCACTGGGTGTGAGCTATTTAATACATGACGGAAATGGTAGACGTGAGGCCCAGCTATGCAGAGCCCACACTCACGGTGCAGAACCCGCCAGGCCTGTGGTTGGTATTTCTGTCACTTGTTTCCTTTTGCCCTCTCCTGCCACTGTGTTGCTCCTGTGTTAGCCAAGACCTAGAATGCTGATCTCTTCGTTGGAGACTCATTACAGCTTATCTCTATCTGCCTTTCTTTAAAGCCAGCTGAACATACCCAATGCTCTGACTCTATGGTAAGACCAACCCTCCAGACCACGCTCTGAGCTTCTGTGACCTCCTCTAACACCCCCCACTCTTACCACTGGACCCTGAGTCTCCCAGAGCCCAGCCTGGCTCCTGCTGCATGTGGCCACCGTGTCCGTCTTGCACCTTGCCTGCCTGGTCTCGTGGAGCTGTGACGTGCTGTCTGTGTAATGGTGTCTTCCCCCCTCCCTGAACTTCCCCTTGGGAGATAATTCACTGTGATCTTGACTGTCTAACGAGCCACTGGGAGAGAACTGGACCCAAGGGCAATTTCCTGTTAAACACCCTGAGACCCGCTAGCTAAGCCTCTAGCCCTAACCTGACGTGGGAACGTTGCACAGGGCGCCATCAAGCGTTTGCCCAGGGTTCTCAGCAGTAATGGGGTGGGCAGACGCTTGAAGGTCTCCATGGTAAGGCCTCCTGGGAAAGAGGGAAGAGGGAGATGATCCAGCAGGAAGTGGGAGGGCAGGCGGCTACTTTCTTCCTTAATCGAGTTTCTGTAGGGACTGGGCTCCTTTGTGCTGAGTTTAAGGCCACAGCAGAAGGTTTGAGCTGGGATTTGTTACTGAGAGTGCGGCTGAATTTCCAGTCGCTTCAACTGTGTTACCTGTGGAATTTTCTAAATCCCTGAGCTCATTAAAATTGGGCGATCCCGCCCTAACCTGTTTGGCTCAGTGGATAGAGCGTCGGACTGCGGACTCAAGGGTCCCAGGTTCGATTCCGGTCAAGGGCATGTACCTTGGTT